AAAGGGATCTTCGAGTGGAAGTGCGTTTAAGTTTAATTAAAATAACGATAAACAGTACAATAGTACTGTCAAATAGTACAACAAGAGTACTGACCTATGTGCAATGTGCGTTACATGGCCAAGTACAAGTCGAAGTATAGGATAGATAGATATAGATATATAAATAGAAAGTCTTTATTTGTATTTGTCTTTATTTATGGAATGATGAACATTAGATTAACTCATCGAGCAAATCATCAATTTCTTCTTAAGTATTTTGGGTCCTTTATAGTTAGATCGCTGAATACGTAGTGGCGGTGAGATCACGAATTGCGCGCGAGCGTATCAAATTCCTCTCTTTTTTTGTATTTCTTACTTGAATCGAAATCACTGTCTGACATTTGTTTTGTGCTTGGCGGCTATAGTCTTCTTTAATAATATTTTTTGTTTATGTGATAAGTTGCCAAGCGAGCAGACGGTTCACCTGATGTTAAGTGAATACCGCCGCCCATGGACATCTGCTACACCCGAAGGTTCCAGATACGTTGACAACCTTTTGAAAAGTGTGCTCCGGCCACCTCACTCACCAGACGAAACGCGACAGTATTATACTTCCACTTTACGCCGGTCGTCTGCGAGGTCGTGGTACTTACCCGGACGAGCCATCGTGCAACAGTCGAGGCTGCTGCGTGGCCCTACCACAGTGAAAATAGGCGTGAAGATAGGCGAAACGCGAAGTGTATTAACCAACTCGTTAGGTAAAAGAGGTACGACAATATGATTGCAAAAGAAAATATATGGCGTCTAATTTCGTATAGTTTTATGTAATTTTTATTTAAAATGTATTTACCCATTGAATTAAGAACATAATAATAAAATCAATATTCTTTTGAAAATAAAAATACTTGCTTTTTTATCTCCGAATCTCATTTCGTCAAGTAACCTTTGTTATTTTAGACCATCTTTTTTCTACAATTTGCAAACATGCATCAATGGTTAATCCATAAACAATTGTTAGACAAATAAGAACGATATGAAGTTCAGTGTAGTCTAAAATAGCATATTAGGGATGATATATGTGAGCAATTAGACTAACATTTTAAAGGTAATGTGTTCAAAATAATGAACATGAGTTCCCTGGGAGCAGTTGCTTAGATAACGTCTTTGGGCGTCGTGGATATTTGTGTACCACAAGTAAATCTATGACGTACAAACATTTGTTCCGGCTCTGGGTTCTAATTTCAGTTTTTAGAATGCCAACAAAATAATCTTACTCTAAAAAAAAAGTAAAGTATCAGCTTATACATGTCCCACTGCTGGGCAAAGGCCTCCTCTATACAGGAGAGGGTATCATGCCATAGTCCACCACGCGGTCCCACTGCGGATGGGCAGACTTCACATATCTTTGAAATATTTTTTTTGTTATTATTTCGAAAATATGCAGATTTCCTCACGACGTTTCACCGCGGAGCACGTGATAAATCAGCAGTTAAAGTTAAAAACTTCATTGGTGCCCGCACCGGGGATCGAACTAACTGATTTATTTCAAACTCAAACTATCTTTATTTACGCTTGCGCGTTCTTATAAGACGTCGAATTTTAATACAAATTTCGTAAGTAAGTTACCATTTCGTAGACCTTTTAGATGTAGAAGGATGAAGACGTGGGCTAACTTATGGTAGGCTGTGCTTATTCTGAATGACATGTGGTGAGACTAGTCACAGTAAACAGAACAGAAAATGTTAGGCAGTGGTTGTGTGGGTGACATGAACGCATAATTATAAACTTATTTTTGCTGCAAACAACAAAAGGGGTATAATTAACAAATAAATTGTAATGTCTAACTAAATTAACCAGAGACGTGTAGACATTTAGACAAAAGAGGAAAAAGCAGTGAACTTTTTTTATTTAATTAAGTAAATAATGGTTATCGTATGGCTTTGTATATTTAAATACCTACTTTTATCGGTTACACCTGTTCATAATCTTTTTGTAGAAAAGTCCATGATTTGTGGGTTATAGCAAATGTGTTATATAACTTTCACTATAGAAAAAGAAAACTATTTGTGCATTGAATCGAAGCCGATACCTTACAAAGGAGATTTGGGACATTGGACCAGAGTTTAGTCATGTAGTCACTAGAACGTTGCTCATTAATAGTGCTAATAATTTAACGGTATTAACCGTTAAATTATTAGCACTAGGGATTTGCATTCTAAGTGGACTCATTTCGATAAAACTCTGCTATCTAAGCGATCTACCCACTAATTGTTACTAACGGAACAGTTCGCTATATCAGCGAAAGCAGCGTTTAATAATTAATTACGAATTATTGAAAATTTAAAACCCAATATCAACATACTTTGCCAATTTATTAAATGGCCTGTTAAAATTTGGCATTGCTTAAATTGCGAAAAAAAATGTAGGTAAGATACATTTAGATTTTTGTCGGTGTGGCAATTAGACGTTTAGCATAGCGGTTTAAGCGCCTGGGAGCGAATCCGGAAGAAGTGGGTTCGATTCCCACGGCGGCGAAAAGATTATCGTTTTAATGTAACAAATTTTAATGTCTTGTTAAATATATTAACGAGATTATAATATATAAGATAACGATAATTCCTTTAAATTAAACGATCCTTAATGCTCCAATGGTCCAAAATTTTCTTAATCAGACGTTTAATTTAATCACAATTTTGCAGATCCGACTAATTCGTGACGGACAAGTTTTCTATCGAGATGGGCATATAATTTTATTTTCTAAAGTAGACGACAATTAAGTACAATCAGTAGTTAGTAATTGAAAAATAACCGATTATATTTGAGTTCAAAATAGTGAAGTACATTTATTACAATTTAACAGTATTGCTTGGCGGGTAATGCTTTACTTGAGGGATTTGAAAGAACTCTTATGCCCATGATTGAGATGACGTTTCCTTTTATAATGTGAGTGAACATTTTAAAAATCGTACAGGAAACTAGTAAAAATTATATCACATTTTTCGTCATCTGTTTCAATCATGGGCATAAGAGTTCTTTCAAATCGCTCAAATAAAGCATTACCCGCCAAGCAATACTGTTAAATTGTATTTTTGTTATACTATTGAATAAATTTTATTTATACCATGTGACATTATTTAATAGCGTAGTTAATTTTAACAGCGATTTCTTTATGACCCATTGAAGAGGACTGCAAAATTGGACTCAATGGTAATATTGTATTTTATGGAATAATTAGACTATGTCATTTGTTTAGATTTCATTGATCAGGCGTGAAGATCAATATATGGCTTTGTCGGCATGTTGGGATTCGTGATCGAAGTTCGTCGGTTCTTGCCGTCATAAACATTAGTTAAGTTTAGATAGTCGCAAAACTATCTATTTTTGTTTTAAATAAACTCGGCGTTGTATAACGTACTTCGTGCCGCAGAATCTGTAGTACATTGTAACGATAGTTCGAAAAAAATATATTACTTCGATTTATTTATGAACAAGATTGTAACAAGTAACAAGTTTTTGCTAAAAATAACCAGAAAGCTTTACAAAAATCAAAAAGGTATATGAGCGTCAGTATTTTTAGTTCATCGAAAGGACCAATAAATGTCTTTAATTTTGTCCCTGCGTTTTAAGGACTTTGTCACACTGATGTAACATAACAAACAAAAACAAAAAAATGGTTCAGCAGAAGATAAAATTTAACATGAAAATAATTGTGTTTGATTATTAAATTACGTATTTTACACTGTCTTATTCCATGTTTTGGATATAATAATTTCCAATGCTAAATAAACAGAGATGTATAAAAGATATGTATTTTATTTACTTTATAATTGTTTTTTTGCATTTTTGTTTCAATTTCATTTAAAGTAATGTAATACACAAATATTTATTAACATGAGTGTGATAGTATACCATCTTCCCAGTAATAATTTCAAGATGGGAGTTTAAGTGCTTGTTACATATTATCACTAACATTGTTACAATTTGAATTTTATCTCAATGGATGTAAGGTTGAAATCATCTGGCCAACAAAAGTCTCCATGTGCCAAATAAAAGTAGCACAATGTACAAGAAAATTTCTTCAGTTCACTAAGGTAATAAGTGTCAAATCAAAACTGTTCAATCTCTACTTATTCTTGGAAAACAGGTTTAATAAATAAAAGATATACTGATGTCATAATAAATATAAAAACCAACATAATATACATGCATATTTAGATCAAATATTTTTAAAATCCTTTAAATAAGGCACTCTAATGTATAACAACTGATAAAACAATATTTTTTACCCTATACAAACTGGAAATACCAAGTTTTCTCAATATTAGCATTCTTTTATTTTTAGAGGTCTGCCAATTGGAGGGAAACTGGTTTATTTGAAATTATTAGGAAGATTGTTATTTCATCCTCTAAAATTATTTAGATTTTTCTAAACCAATACATTACAACAGATGATGTTTGTCAATATAGAAAGAATCAATAGCTACTTACACACTAAAATCTTCTTTATTGTCACCAAAGGATATAAATATTAAAGAAATCACTGAGCATATTAAAATCAAACAAAATATCTACTACTATTAAAATTAAAAGAATAACATCAGCAACGAATACTAAGCGTTACACAATAAGAATAATAGATCACAATCACCACACTACCTGATTAAATTCTATAAAAATGATAATAACTATGCAATGCCAGTTAATATATTATCAAGTAGTTTAAAGCCAATCAAAGGTTTAAACGTGAATTTTGTACTAATAGAGATAACGAAACAATTACGTACGATAAGTAACGACAGTTTGGCGTTATAATGATGCAGAATGCCGAAAACTTCGAAACGAAGGACGAAATGAGCTAGGAGTAATGTATTCAGCCGCGATGCGAATCCTAATAAAATTATACACGGCACAGCGTCAAATTACGAGTCTCTCGCCTTTAGTTAAAAGGTTAACAGCCAATTGACTACAGTTTTTTTAATCAGTTAAAAATAAGGACATTACGCGTAGTTTTTAACACTCACCGATGCTAGCGAGCCGCATTCCACCGTTCTCGAAGTGCGTGGGATCGTATTTTCATCTTGTTCACGTAATACCACTTCGCGAATTACTAATATTTTGTATCAAAATGCAAGGAGATATAAAAAAATAGGATGAGCACTGTTACATTACAACTGTCAAAATTGAACTTCACTCAAGTGGTCGTGCCAAATGCCATAGACAAGGTTGCATTTAAAAATAGATGTGATGAGACTATTCACCGCTAGATGGCGGAAGCAGTAATAATTTTTGTTTATTTGTACCAACAAATTACAATTTATACTGTCGTTGCTTTATACTGTATGTATTATTTATTATATTATATAGGTACTTTATTAAATATTTTTGCACCTACAGCAAAAAAAAAAAATATTTTTCTACGTGGAGTATTCTGCACCACGACGAAAATCATAAATTAGACGAATATTCGGTGAAAACAGTTAATCAAAAACACAGAAGAAAATTATACTTAATTAATTTTAATTGTATTTTTTATTGCCTTTCAATTATCAAATCAAAAAATATGGTCAAGCAGACAGATCAGTATCAGTATTAAGTACGTTTTACACCTCAGATCTTACCATCATATCCATAGCAATCAAAATAAAATGAATAAGTAATATACTTGGCTTTGTTTTATGGAAGATAATCGTCTGAGTTGAAATAAGAATCACTTCAGAATTGCTGTTATGAGATTGTAAAATCCATATTTCCTAACATCTGAATTCCTAACATCATTTAATCACTGAATCTAGAATATGTATCGATGAAATTAAATATTGGATGGGAACCTAATTGAACTTGTTTAATGAAATGATACCATCTATGTTAATGTTTATAAATACGTATCGTTATACTTTACTATATTAAGCCTCACAATTTTGCTCTGTTTTTATGAGTGGCCACTGAGCAAATATTTAATCAGACATTTACGTTGTGGATTAACCTACTAGCTGATATTGTTGGTCTCTGGTTACCGCTTTTTATCACTAATTTTAAGCTGTTATTTGTTAATTTTACGCGGTTATCACTAATTTTAAGTGATAACCACCCGTGGACATTTACACACCGGTAAGCTTGGAGATGCGTTGCCACCTTTGATTAAGGTGGGCCCCGGCTACCTCACTCACCAGACGAAACGCAGAATCATAACACTTCCAATTCACTGTGAGGATGTTGTACTTACCCGGATGGACCTGTCCATTCGTGCGATAGCGAACTGTTTTGTGGTCTTAAGCAGTGAAGCTACATCTTTTTTTTATAAATTTTTTGGAGATTAACAGTAATTTTCGCTGCAGCTTCAGCTGTTGCACTTTTTGGGAAGACTCGTCTGGGGACCGCTCTGGCCGGCTTCCCCCGCATTGTCGTGGCGGAGGCATGCGAGAGGGCCGCACCGAGCGGGCTCATTGTGCCCAGCCTAGATGCGTGCTGGAGGGTGCAGGGGACTGGTCGAGGGTGATAGAAGAGGAGCCACCCTCGCTGTCTTCTGCTACCAAGTAGGAGTCGCGGAGGAAGAGCAAGGTCGATATTAAGTTTGACCCGCCTTCCCTATCCTCTGCGACTCAGTGGGGCTGCACCGCTGATGCAGTGGTGGTGGGGCCGCGGGGAGTAAATTTACTTAAAAATTTACTTAATTAAACCTCCTACAACATTGTCAAACAATTGATATACCTATTCAGATTTTTTCAACTAAAAAGTACGGCTACACAGTAGTACAATTGTTGCGATGGTCACTGACTACTGCCGTTGCGCAGTAGTCAAAGTGCAAAATAAAACATTTAAAACGTCTACGATTAAAGTCAATAACCACTTGACACGTTGAACGCCACGTGACAATATAGAACTTTTCATTGGAGCCACACGGGTCACCCGTGAGCCGCACCACGACTTAGATTCAAACCTATTTTACAGGCGACTACATATGGATATGTTGCAATAAAGTAGAATATATTATTCGTTTTTTAATGTTTCTTTATAAAAAACGAATTAAATTACAAACATCTTAACATACATTTTTTGTATGACACAGATTTCTTGAAGTCGTTTGTTTCCTCTCTCGCTTATTTTACGCCTTTGACCGGACACAATTTCTTCGGTTTTGTGTCACAAGTTTTTCAGAATTTCTTTTCTAAAGTCCACAATCTGGATGTTCTGATTTTTGTGGTCTTGTTCAATGTTAAAGCAATTCTGCAAAACCGTCTTCGTCGATAATATACAATAAAAAACCTAATCGATAAAAAAACCGACTGAACTCGTATGCCGAGGGTTCCTCCGTCTTCCCATTATACCGCCAAAAAAACCGGGAAATAGTCACCACCGATTTTCTCAGGAACGGCTAGCAAAATCTAAATTTGCCCATATCTTTTTATCGTGTTGACTCGGCACCTTGATTTGTATACAGCTAATAGGGACTATATACCTCAGTATCTGGTATAAATTTCAACTTGCCTTTATGAGGTTATAGACGGAGAAGAGTCTCATGACGGTCCCTTTTATTATCTTTTAAGGTACGGAACCCTAAAAATAAACAAACAGATATTGCACGTACGCTGTGTCACTGGAGTTAAAACAGTTTTAATTTTTGAATTTACATTGGATGGGCGAATAATGCGTGCGTGCGGGTTGAAGTGCACGGGTGGGACGCAGCGTGACCTCCGTGGCCCCCGTGGAAATAAAATCGCGATTCTTTCCGATCAGGCCATGCGGCCCACCAGTGGGTCAAGTTACTCAAATACAATATTTTTAACATCAAAATCCAAAGTTTTTAATTGAGAGTGCCAAATTTCACATTTTGTGTCGATTAGCTGATAAAAACAGTATTTTAAAAGTTTTAAAGAAATAAGATTTCACTTTGGCTTGTTCGTGTTTTCCCCGTGCCCACCGGTGGACCGCGTTGCGTTCAACGTGTTAAGCGTGATCTTCATTAAACAACTATTAATATCAGTAGCTATTTATTCTAGGTCCGCGTATTAGAATGTCGTTTGTTTGAATGTAATAGATTGTAATTTCAATGAACGTGTCGCGACAACGTATAAATAAATACAAATCCACGTTGCCGGCAAGTCTTCTTGTAAATGCAGTGCTGAATGCACAATAAACAAGGGACTCCGACCTCCGTTGCCAAAGAGTCGAACCTGCCTTGTACTATGCTAAACGGCTAACGATACCATCATTATTGTCTATGACTGAAGCGTTCCAATTTCAAAATATAGGAAGAAAACAAAAGCTGAGGAATAGTTTATTTGTGTTATGATTTGTAACGTATTAGGTACCTATTTATAATTTTAAAAATTGTGTATAATACAATCAAATACATACGCTAATTCTTAGTTTGATTTCCGAATAGACTAAATATTAATTTGATTCACAATAAGTTGTTACGAATACCGCGAGTACTTTGCGTTTTAATGTTTGTGGAACTCCACGGGGTACGGGAATTTTATTTATTAGTGTAAGAGTTGCTTAAAAAGGAAACAACATAAAAAACGTCAGAGCTTTTTTTATGCTTGCTGAGTATAACAATATAATAAATAGTTAGCAAGCAAGTAAAAGTATAACTAGCTATTATAATTCAAGTGTCTACTCCTAAGCTTTTCTGTTCCATTCAGCCACCATCCAAATCTGTCGGCGCAGAGTCTAAACAACAAATTAGTTCGATGACGTTGCAAGACCGCCAAATAATGTTATTTACATATTGTTTTGTCACTTTCTACTTTATTATTTATTAGTGTCTTTGTTTTTTTCCCGTCTTGATAATATCATAGCGGTGTATGATCGTTTGTTTGGAAATTTAGCGCGTCCCTGTATAATTGTATTGTTTTGTGGTTCGGCTTGTCATGCCGTCTTCAGATCCCATTAGTTTATTTTTGAGTTACTTAGGAAATTTGAAAATCGAGATAGTTGAAAAAATTTAAACTTCTAATTGCATAAATCGCACCTTGCGTAGAATAACGTTCTGTGGTAACGAATTTGATTTTATTATCGGAAAGTCTAAATTATTGACTCCGCTTTCGGACAACATTTTTTTTTTCATCTGAATTATAGATATATAGATATATAGATCTATGTTACAGATTCAGAATAGTACAACGTTCTATTTTATTTGTGCTCCGCAGTACTAGGACATAATTATATAAGTTTAGACACGGTTTTTTGTACTTAATAGACTAAGCTTACTATGTAAAAGATCAGTGTAAAATGCTTTATCAGAATCAATTGATATTTACTGCATAGTAACCCATTTACTCACTTTCGTCACTTTTTTATAGTTTTTTCGTTGAAAAAAGGTGCTCTATATCATACTATGTGTTTCGATCATACAGTTTTTTGTAGATCAACATTATATATGAACGTGTGATCTATTATTTTTTAGAAATGTTCCGTTGAATACAGAACAACATTATATAAACGTGTACATATAAACTTGTGACCCGTCAGGTTTTGCCATTTTCCGTAATAAAACGTCATTATTACACATGAAACCTCTTATTTCCTAAATTTACATACTTCTTTATTCAAAAAGTATAACTGTTTGTTTATACTTTTTGAATAAAGAAGTATGTATGTGTATACCTAATCAATTACAAACCTCAAAAATTGTAATAGCAACTGCTATGTATAAAGAAAACTATAACCAAAATAAAAATAATTGTAATTTGAATCGGCCGTCATATGCAGGTTGCGAAATAATAAAAAAAATCTTACAATAGTTGATTACAAAACATAGATATTTTTAAATACTTATTGTGTTTTGTGAATCAGCTTATTTAATTTAATTAGAGTTTAGGAAAAAGAGACAGTAAACTGTAGGTATTATATTGATATTTTAGAAGATATTATATTGATATTTGATAAAAATCTAAAATCTTTTCAATAAGTTTTTTTATATGTCTTATCCTTTAAATGAGCAATTCTTGTATATATATACATAATCGGATTCTCGGAAACGGCTCCAGCGATTTTCATATAATTTAGTATGTGCGTAGATTCGGGGGCGAAAAATCGATCTAGCTAGGTTTCATATTTAGAAAATGTCCTTTTATCCCCGTTTTCAGGGAATGAAAAATATCATTTGAATATGACAGTAAATTTCGCCGCAAAAAAAAATGTTATAATAGCTCGGTCGGTAATCGGGCGGCCCTAAAACAGACGGCCGCGGTTCGTATCACGATCATTTACACACTTCTTTTTTTTACTTTTTTTTCTATACCAGATCATTTTCTTTATTTTTAAATTTTTTTATTTCCAAAATACATGATTTACCAAAAAAAACCGAGCAAAGCTCGGTCCTCCGGGTACTCTTTATTGGATTTTGGCGACTTTGAGCCATGGTATTTCATATCCTTACCTCTTCCTATGTTACGACTGTGGAGGTGCTGTTTTTTATTCTTGCAACATTACATTAGAGGAGTCACATTTAAGTTGTCGGCCTTTGTCGGCCTTGGTCTCATCTTGAAAATCCCTATGTCATATCACTCCGGAAATACCGCTGGCGAAAAAGTAACCAATAAAACAAAGATATTCTAAGAACTAAGAAAATAATCTGTCAAGTAACAAACAACCAAATAAATTCATTATCTGACAGATGATCTAACCTATAATTTACTTCGAACTTTATTTGTCAAATACGTTTATTATAAGATTGTGAAACGCCAACGATGACTTTATTCGTCAGATAATTGGCAAATAGCTTATTCGGGACTTTATTTGGACATTGTGAAATAGGGTCTAATGTAATAAAAAAAAAACATGTTTATTATTTTATATGTAACATATTTTAAATGTGTTGCCGTGTGGTGTCGGCGTAAGAATAAGCCACCCCATCTCATCCCGTGGGTGTCGTAAGAGGCGACTAAGGGATAAGCCACAAACATCCAGTGGCCTCCGATAGATGGCGGGATAACCATCTTAACTCTCCAGACCCAAATATCCAGGCCAATAACGGGCAGCAGCGTTGAAGGTGCGAGGTGTCTGGAAGAACTGCGGTTGCCAACCCGCTCGCCAAGCGTGGCAACTATGGCAAAAACCCCTCATGTATGGAAGTCCAAGGTGTACGGCCCCCAGTCCCCGGCGGCCCTGCTATTCCTGGCTACGGTAGCGGTCATGGTAACGGCAGGGCAGGGAGTGCTAAGAATCCCCGGCTAGTATTCGGCTACCAACGACGGCGACTGGACCTGGCAACATACAACGCAAGAACATTGAGGACTGACGAGAAGATTACAGAGCTGGAAGAAGAGGTGAACAGGCTGCGCTGGGATATAATAGGATTATCTGAAGTCCGAAGACAGGGGGAGGACACGATAATCCTCGAATCCGGCAACCTGTTTTACCACCGGGAGGGCGACCAACTGTCCCAAGGAGGTGTCGGATTTATCGTCCACAAGTCTCTCATTAACAACTTTGTTAAAATCGAGGGTGTGTCGTCGAGGGTTGCGTACCTTATACTCAGAATATCCAAACGGTATTCGCTGAAGGTCATACAGGTCTACGCACCAACGTCGACACATCCCGATGATGAGGTGGAGGCAATGTATGAGGATATATCACGAGCAATACATTCCTCCAAAACTCAATACACGGTGTTAATGGGAGACTTCAACGCAAAACTAGGCAAAAGGAAAGACGATGAGCTGAGAGTAGGAAGTTTTGGTATAGGGCAACGGAACCCAAGGGGGCAGCAGCTGGCTGACTTTATGGAGAAGGAGGGACTCTTTATGATGAACTCTTTCTTCAAAAAGCAGCCCCACAGAAAGTGGACCTGAATTAGCCCCGATGGTTCTGTTAAAAACGAGATAGACTTCATTATGACGAACAAACGGCAAATATTCAATGATGTCTCTGTGATCACAAGGGTGAAGACCGGCAGTGATCACCGATTGGTGAGAGGCATATTGAATATTAACATCAGGCTGGAAAGATCTCGTCTAATGAAGTCCACACTCCGACCATCTCGTGCCCATATCCAGAACTCCGAAAGCTTTCGGCTCGAGCTACATAATCGCTTCCAATGCCTAGAAAATTGCAGCACTGTGGACGATATTAACGCTAAGCTCGTGGAAACTGTCCATGCCGTGGGCCTTAAATTTTATAAGGCCCGCCGCACAAATAGAACGCAAAAACTCTCCGATCACACTCTTAACCTCTTGGGAAAAAGACGTGAGATGCGACTGCAGTCTTTAGCTGACATGTCAGACTACAGGCGGCTTAATAGGCAGATCTCCAAATGCATGCGGCGAGACTTACGCATCTTCAATACAGGTCGTATTGAGGGAGCTATAGAGCGGAACCTAGGCTCAAAAGTCTTCGCCAGAGATCTGTCTATCGGACAAAGCCAACTGACCAAGTTGAAGACTGACAGCGGGGCTGTCATCTCCAGTAGACCAGAGGTTTTGAGTGAGATTGAGAGGTTCTATGGACAGCTGTACACATCGTCGTTGGAGTCACACACATGTGTGAGTTACGACCCAAGAGCAAAGCTTATCCGACACTATTCCGAGAATATCCCGGACGTCAGTCTGAGCGAGATTAGAATGACTCTCGACCATCTTAAGAATGGCAAAGCATCGGGAGAGGACGGAATTACAGCAGAGCTTCTGAAAGCGGGTGGAGAACCGGTACTTGTAGTCCTTCAGAGGCTCTTTAATTTCGTCCTTCAGGGTGGTGCTACACCAGAGGCGTGGAGCAGAAGTGTGGTGGTGCTGTTCTTCAAGAAAGGCGATAACGCTCTCTTGAAGAACTATAGACCGATATCCCTTCTGAGCCGCGTCTATGTGCTGTTCTCAAGAGTCATCTTGAATCGTCTCGCTTCCAGACTCAACGACTTCCAGGCCCCCGAACAAGCCGGATTCCGAAAAGGCTTCAGGACCATAGACCACATACACACCTTGCGGCAGGTTATACAGAAGACCGAAGAGTATAATCTCCC